TTCCAGTTTGATACACATTTTAGTGCTGTATCAATAAAACACTTCTATATAAATAAGCACACATAAAAGTGATGCTAATGGAGTCCATCCCCTATCTCCTCAAAAAAATCTTATTGTACTTTTTCCAAACGTAATACTCACAGTTTGAAATTATACATTTGCCCAAAACTTGAATATAAATGGGGGTTATAAAGTTACTAAGCAGCCTTGTTGGATTGCTGAACAACTTGATTGTTTGTTTACCGAACAACCCTTGCTGAAAAACTTGTTCTTCTAGTGTAAACCCAACTGGTTTAATGGAAAGCCGAAGAACTTGAGTGGTTTGGCCGAAGAATGTTATTGAGTTAGATATGGTTTTACAAGATTGTGTCAACTGGGCAACATTGAGTCGGCAACTTTGTTTTTGTTTCTCACTTGCCAAAAGCTCTTGGTCGGCCTTCTCTCTGGGTTTGTCTTGCCGAGAACACTTGTGCGGCAACCCCTTTTGTTCTACACTTGCTGAATACTTGGTCAGCAATCGGAACAATCATTGTGTATGGTCATGGGGACATCTCGGAACATCTGGTTGGCAACTCCTTTTCGATGTGCCGAAGCACTTAGGAAGTGTTTTATTGATACAGCACTAAAATGTGTATCAATCTGGAAGTATGAAGTGTTTTGGTTTGAGCTTGAGTCTCATTTGTTTGTTGATATTGGAAGGATGTGAATATGATATATGTGATTTCACTGTTATAAGTTTGGCCAGGTTCTGAACCATGTTGATTAAATTGGAAAGTAAAACGTATCTTTGGCAATAATGTCATGAGTCTGTAAAATGAAGTAATTGATTATTTTGGTTGACCATCTGTTGAATGCTATTGCTTTATTCATTGCTTATATGTGGTTTAGTATATTTCTACTGGGCTGTGGCTCACCCTTTATGGGAACATCATTTTCAGGTTCAGGTGATAAACTACCTCCAAGGACTTAGCTTGGGAGGGTTTGGCTTCTGGATTTGAAGAAGACTATCTTTAGTTAATTGTCTTTATTTATTAGTACATGTAAACATTCAAGCCTAGGGCTTTTCTTGTATTGAGTTAGAACTCATATTTTTGTATCCAAGTGTTGGCTTGGAAAGATGTAAGTCTGTAGGGCATTTTATTCGATGTTACATGTAATGCTTTTATTTAGTAATACTCTGATGAATGAATTAATAAATTGTTTTCTATATATAATGGGTTAATTTTGAGGGCGTTACACTGTCCTTCACTAAAAAAATCTCTCTCTACCACATGATTAGTTCAGAATGAAGATTTTCCTTTTATAATCAATGATAGTTAAAAATTCACATCAACATATCTTTATTTTAAATAAAAAATGATTAAGAAAAATTTAATTATAACTGTTAATTTTAAATTTTAATAATACACTTTAATCATATAAAATGATATACAAAATTTTATTGAGATAATCAAAATCCCTCTTCTAGATATGATGTGGTCTAATGAACACAACTATTTGCACGGTTTTGGCCGTGGTTAGTTGCACAAGAGTTACTACAAAAATCTATAGTGAAAAAAAAAAAAAAAATTATTGATAAGTTCATTTTTATAGGTATATATGGTATTAAATTCAATAATTATTTTGTTTTGGTGTTAAGGATATGTATAATGAATATAGCCATTATAGCTATAATATTTTCACTCACTAATGTCAATCATTAACCATTGTCGATCACTGATTATTGTTAGTAACGAGTTAACGTGATCCAAATATTCACCGAAAAAGTTATTGATAACAACTTGTAGTAAAAATATCAACTAATAAATGAATAGATAGGCTTGATGACAACTTGTAGTAAAAATATCGACTAATAAATGAATAGATAGGCAAGTAAATAGAAATAACAGTATAATTTTTAAATTATCATATCCTTATGCTTACAAGAATAAAGGTTGAGTTTGGTTTAGTTTTAGAATTGTGATTCTTTTTTTGGAGTTGTGATTTGACTGTGGAATTGTGAGTTGAGTTTTAAAAAGAGAAAATTTGTTCGATTATAAATTTTGAAATGAATTTTTAAATTTTAAATTTTGAAAAAAACGGATAGGGTCTATCTGGTCGTCTACCCGGACATCCTTACGTTCGGCTGATTGATCAGAATAGTGCATTTTTTTATTTTTTTTTGGCAATTGCAACATGTTATTTGAAAAAATAATATATATATATATATTTTTGTTTTAGATATTTTTTAAATATAGAAATTATTTTTCTAGATTTTTTATAAAAATAATTTA